AAATGGTACAAACAACAATACAAAATATTTGTGCTGTTGACGGTTACAAAAAAAGGTTTTTGAACTGGGTTAACGGACGCAAACTGCTTTTGAGCTTCAGCGTGAATACAGCAGAACAGCAGAAGTCTTCCTTGAGAACAACCACAGTCATGCGGGCTGCTACACAGCTTCTCCATCGTAAAAGGAAACATGCAAAACCAGAATTAAAATTAAAAAAAGGAAAGAGAAAGTGCTCCAATTATAACACCTATATATTGTTGGTTTTTTTTTTCCCTATTTGATTTGTAGCTTCAAGCACTAACTACATTATGTACACATTGTGTGAACAATTGTATATGGGGTCGGTGTGTACTGGAGAGAACTTTGATTTTCCCCATGAAACTGAGTCAACTTTGCGTGGGAGACACCTACATTGGCTAGCTGCTGTTTTAAACATACGCATTCATCGTTATATGGCATTCCACCCCCCCCCCAACATTTTTTTCTTCCACACTTACAATGAAGAGCTCCAAAAGACATCACAAATAAAAGTCCCGTATTTTACCTTGAATATGTTTTTTTGTTTTTTTTTTTTTTTTTTGAAGACTAAACAAAGTTGCAATCTTGGCATCTCGTGTTGTACAGACCCTGCCCATCGCCATTCTCCGCTACCCTGTGCGCAGCAGCTGCGGGCGGCACAGCCGTCTCCTACGGCCCCCTTACCCCCGGAGGCTGGAGCCAGACCCGACCGTCCCTAAAAACCCCCGGAAAGAGGCAAACTCCCCACCACTGCCTTACAACCACCGTTGGCATCACTTGGCCCAACAAAAAAGGGAAAGGAAAAAAAAAAAGGAAAAGAAAACACAAACTCAGAAGAAAACACAAAACCAGAAGCAGAACTATGACCAGCACAAAGGCCACCGAGAGCAGCCTTGCCTATTTACTGTCATTAATTACCTGCTGGATCACCTCGCGGCCTCAAAAGCATTTCCGTGAGTGATGCTTCTCCCCGTTCCCACGTGATACAATAGACCGACGGGGCCGGGCTCTGCCGGGGGCGGCCGTGGGCACAGCGGTGGGGGAGGTGTCTGGTGGTCTGGTGTGCCCCACGCCTTGGGAGCTCCCCGTCCCCGTCCCCGTCCCTGTCCCCCAGACAGCGCGGAGAGCTGCGGTGTTGTCCCCCGGGAGCGCGACGGGGTGCAGGGGTAACTGGGTGACAGTGGTATTTCGGGGACAGGGTTCCCTCCACCTGCCTGAAAGCGGCTGCTCCCCGAAGGTGTGCAGAACGTGGGCACTTTTTGGCATGCAAAAGGTGGGGACTTGAATGTGTGGACACCACTTCTTTAATTAGTGTAATTTTTTTAGTTTGGATTAGTCAGAGACTGAGCTTTCTGGTCTCAATGCATTAATCACTTCTGTGGCCTGTAAGAAAAACGGGCAACTGTCTGTTCAGCCCAAGTTGCCGTTTCCCTGCCCTGGTCCAGGTCAGCCACCGTCACCTCCAGCTGTGGATGGCAATGCCACGGCACGTCCACGAGGGTCAGAGCAGGGGACAGATCAGTGGCTCTTCAGTGTCCCCTCTCAGATCAATCTACGTTCCCTTAGCTGGGTTACAAACCGCAATATTGACAAGCAAAAAGGTTTGCAAAAAGTGACCCGTTTCCATTGCTCGATGTGCTCCTCGCTTACCTTCCGCCTGCCCCACCGCGGGGACGGGGCCTGGCGCTGCTGCTACTTAAAAACCATAAAGCTCAGTGGTGGAGGATGCAGGGAGGAGGAGGAGGAGGAGGAGGAGGAGGAGGAAGAAGAGAAGGAGAAGGTCCTGCAGAGGGAGACTGAGCAGAACTGGGACAAAAGACACCGAACTAGTTGGTTTGATTTATAGGCTTGTGGGGTTGGAACGGCTGGATTGCAAATGCTGCAGAAAAAATATGCGCTGCTTTAAAAAAAAAAAAG